TATGGTGGAGAGAGAGAGAAAGCTCTCTTCTGTCTCTCTTTCTAAGGGCACCAATCCCATCATGGGAGTCCCGTCCTCATGACCTAATCATCTCCCAAAGGCTCCACCTCCAAAGACCATCATACCTGGGGATTAGGGTTTCCACATAATGAATTTTAGGGGAACACAAACATTCAGTCCATAACAATTTTGAAAAGGAAAATGTTTAGACATACAAAAAAACTTCAAAAGTGATTATGAATAAACCTGGATAAACATTCTCAAACAAAGTTTTAGGTGGACACACAATTAGGAAAAGGGAGACTTCTCCAGCTATGGTTTTTATTTTTATTTATTTTTAAAATTAATATTCTCTTTTTTAAAAAAATATTTATTTGTTTGTTTGGCTGAGCCAGGTCTTCGTTGCCGCATGCGGGATCTTTAGTTGCAGCATACGAACTCTTAGTTGCGGCATGTGGGATCTAGTTCCCTGACCAGGGAGTGAGCCCAGGCCCCTGCATTGGGAGTCTTAGCCACTGGACCACCAGGGAAGTCCTCCAGCTATGATTTTTAGAGTTTTGGGGTTTGGCACAATGCAAATGCCTTCCCCATTCAAAATTGTAACTTACAAAAACAGACAGGATTAAAAAAAAAAAAGATTCATTAGTTTGGAACTAGAGAGAACTAGGTTGAAATCTTGGCCTTTCTAAGCTGTCTGTCTTTGGCCAAGTATGTGAACATCTCAGAACATCACAGTTTTCCTGTCAGTCCAAAAGGGAAAGGAATGCTTTCGTTTTCAGGGCTGATTAAAGGGTGACAAAACATAGACTATGCACGTGCCTAATGGGATAAAGGTGAGTGCTAAATTAATGTGCACTGTTATAATTATTATTCTTACCCTAGTGAGTTCAGGGCTGCTTGCCCTGGTGTCCAAAGGCGGCAGGTTCACACACACGCAAGCTCCCAGGCTGGGAGGACTCTGGGAGACGGGTGGCGATGGGGAGAGTGTCTTGGGCAGAGGCCACTCCATTCCTTTCTGGAGCCCCAGCCCAGAATCTGAGTCATTCTTTCTGCTCTGAGATTCTGAGGCTCCTGCCCTAAAACTGACCTCTCCTGATGACCTGATGTGACTAAAGGCTGACAGGAAAGGGCATGGGCAGTTGCCAGGGGTGGCGGGGGCCACTCCTGGGGGGCCAGCAGCCTTGTTTTGGGATGTCCACATACAATGTCCCTCTGGGCTCGTCTGGGAAGAATCAGTCACATATCCCACGCTACAATGCATTATTCATGCTCTTCCCCAATCTGGGTCACCCAGTCCATATCCTTTTCATCTGGATAATCTTACTGTTCCTCAGCCCCAGGGCCCCTGCCCAAAAAGCCTTACCTGCTGGGATAGGTCCCTTCTCTGACCTCTTCTAGGCCCCTGTGCTTCCCCATTACAGCACTGATCATCCAATATTAAAGTTAAGTGGTTAAACAGACATAGAGAACGGACTTGTGGTTGCCAAGGGGGAGGAGGGGTGGGACAGGGAAGGACTGGGAGTTTGGGATTAGCAGATGCAAACTATTATATATAGGAAGGATAAAAAACAAGGTCCTGGGCTTCCCTGGTGGCGCAGTGGTTGAGAGTCCGCCTGCCGATGCAGGGGACACGGGTTCGTGCCCTGGTCCGGGAAGCACCCACGGAGCGGCTGGGCCCGTGAGCCATGGCCACTGAGCCTGCGCGTCCAGAGCCTGTGCTCCGCAACGGGAGAGGCCACAACAGTGAGAGGCCCGCGTACCGCAAAACAAACAAACAAAGAGAAGAAAACACAAGGTCCTACTGTATAGCACAAGGAACTATGTTCAATATCCTGTGATAAACCATAATGGAAAAGAATATGAAAAAGAATGTATATATACATATAACTGAATCACTTTGCTGTACAGCAGAAATTAACATTGTAAGTTAACTATACTTCAACAAAATAAATGTAAAAAATAAAAATGCTTAAAATAATCAAAATTAGGTCAAAAGATACAAACTTCCAGTTATAAAATAAGGAAGTCCTGGGGTTGTAACATACAGCATGGCAACTATAATTAATAATACTATTATATATTCAAAAGTGGCTAAGAGTAAATCTTAAAAGCTCTCATCATAAGAAAATAATTTTTTTTTGGCCACTCCGTGTAGCTTGCAGGGTCTTAATTCTGTGACCAGGGATTAAGCCCAGGCCCTCAGCAGTGAAACCACAGAATCCTAACCACTGGACCACCAGGGAATTCCCAAGGAAAGAAATTTTGTAACTCTGTATGATGATGGATGTTAACTAGACTTATTGTGGTGATCATTTGGCAATGTATATAAATATCGAATCATTATGTTGTACATCTGAAACTAATATAATATTATGTCAATGATGTCTCAGTGAAAGAATTTTTTTTTTTCTGCGTTGGGTGTTCGTTGCTGAGCGCGGGCTTTCTCTAGTTGTGGCAAGTGGGGGCTACTCTTCGTTGTGGTGCGAGGGCTTCTCACTGCAGTGGCTTCTCTTGTTGCAGAGCACGGGCTCTAGGCCCACGGGCTCCAGTAGTTGCAGCACGTGGGCTCCGTTGTTGTGGCGCTCGGGCTTAGTTGCTCTGTGGCATGTGGGATCTTCTCGGACCAGGGATCGAACCCGTGTCCCCTGCATTGGCAGGAGGATTCTTAACCACTGAACCACCAGGGAAGTCCCAAGAATAAATTTTTAAAAATCACAATTAACGGTGCTAATATGGGCAAACAGATTTGCCCCCTGGTACTATGCCCGGAGGTCACAATATCAGTGCCAAAAAATGCATAGTAATCAGGAGGAAGCATCAGACAAATGCAAAGTGAGGAACATTCCACCAATAACTAGTGTGTGCATTTCAAAAAAGTCAATGTCAAAAAAAATGGTACAGGGCTTTCCTAGTGGTTCTGTGTTAAGACCCCACATTCCACTGCAAGGGCCATGGGTTCGATCCCTGGTCGGGGAAGTAACGCATGTCGCAAGGTGTGGCCAAAAAAAAAGAAAAAAAGGTACAAATGAACTTATTTACAAAACAGAAATAGAGTCACAGATGTGGAAAACAAACTTATGGTTACCAAGGGGGAATGGAAGAGGGATAAATTGGGAGATTGGGATTGACATATACACACTACTATACATAAAATAGGTAACTAGTAAGAACCTACTGTATAGCACAGGGAACTCTACTCAATACTCTGTAATGACCTATATGGGAAAAGAATCAAAAAAAGAGTGGATATACGTATATGTATAACTGATTCACTTTGCTGTACACCTGAAACTAACACAACATTGTAAATCAACAATTTTTAAAAAGTCAATGTCGTGAAGGACAAAGAATGATTGAGGAACGGGTCCAGATTATGGAGGACTAAGGAGACACAACAAGTAAATGCACCATGTGATCCTGGATGGGACCCCAGAGGGGGAGAAAACAGCTGTAAAGGACATGATGAAACTGGAATCTGGACTGAAGATTAGATAACAGCAATATGTCAGGCTCAAACTTCCTCAAGCTGCTATCTGTGCTGCAGTTACGTAAGTGAAAGGCCTTGTTCTTAGTAAAAGCACTAATCATGTCTGCAGCATACCCTCAAATCATTCACACACAAAAAAGTGTGTGTGATTATCTTTTTTTCTATGTGTATTTTATATATACATGTATATGTGTGCATTATATATGTGCATGTGTATAATAGGTGTGTGTGCATATTATATGTATATACATGTGTCTTTCTGTATATAAATGTTTCTCTCTCTTCTCCTCTCTATTTTTTTTTTTTTTTTCGGTACGCGGGCCTCTCACTGCTGTGGCCTCTCCTGTTGCGGAGCACAGGCTCCAGACGCGCAGGCTCAGCGGCCATGGCTCACGGGCCCAGACGCTCCGCGGCATGTGGGATCTTCCCGGACCGGGGCACGAACCCGTGTCCCCTGCATCGGCAGGCGGACTCTCAACCACTGCGCCACCAGGGAAGCCCTACTCCTCTCTCTTTTGTACAAGAATCATCTCGGTTTTATTTATTTCACAGAGTAATGATTTTAATTGAATACATTTGGGCACAGTAAATATTTGACCTGAAAAGTAGTTGTATCAGAATGGGCATCAGAAAAATAGCAACTCATCTTTACACATAATTAAGTAGAAAATATTTTTTCTGTCTGTTCATGTAAGTGTTACAAATCCTGAGAATAGGTACTACCTTACAATTAAATCTTGCATACATATATATATATAGAGAGAGAGAGAGAGAGACAGAGAGAGACAGAGAAAAGAAATATATATGGAATATATATATATTTGTGTGGAATATATATATATATGCCTCTCTTCCTTTATGTGAGGGAGGATCACCAGGGAAAAGAACTGCTCAGCTGAGTCCACTGGATGTGGTTTTGAGCCACTAAGTTTGGGGAATGTTTGTTACACAGCAAAAGAAAACTGATTGGGCTTCCCTGGTGGTGCAGTGGTTGAGAATCTGCCTGCTAATGCAGGGGACACGGGTTCGACCCCTGGTCTAGGAGGATCCCACATGCCGCGGAGCAACTAGGCCCGTGAGCCACAACTACTGAGCCTGCACGTCTGGAGCCTGTGCTCCGCAACAAGAGAGGCCGCGATAGTGAGAGACCCGCGCACAGCGATGAAGAGTGGCCCCCTCTTGCCACAACTAGAGAAAGCCCTCGCACAGAAACGAAAACCCAACACAGCAAAAATAAATAAATAAATTAATAAACTCCTACCCCCAACATCTTCAAAAAGAAAAACCACAGCTTTAAAAAAAAAAAATGCTCCTGATTCCTAAAAAAAAAAAGGAAAACTGATACACTAATGCTGTTAAATAATAAAATATGTTCTATCCTCCCAGTTTTTAAAATATACCTTCAAAACAATATGAAAGGCCAGATTCAAATTTATTATTTCTTTTTTGTTTTAATAAGATTTGGTTTTTTTTTAGATTAGAGTTTTTAAATTGTGGTAAAACATACATAATAGAAAAAGTTTAACCATTTTAATGTATACAATTCAGTGGCATTAAGTACACATACAATGTTGTACAACTTCTACCTAGTTCCAGAACTTTTCCACCAGCCCAAATGGAAACTCAATGGTCTAAAAGGAAGTCTATGGGCTCCAGTAAGTATACCCATTGCTCCCACAACTCCTTGCCTGGTGGAGGCATTCACCCTCCAAAGTGCAGTGCCATAATAGAGGTCCCTCTTGCCCTGGTCTGAGGCTGGCACTGGCAACAGAAAAACACCAGCCCAAAGGCAATGATCAGAGGCTTAAAGGATCTGCAAAAAAACAGAACATGGAATGGCCTGTGTCGCACAGCAGTGATGGGGCGGGAGGGCTTCCCTTGGCCAAAGAGGGCAGCTCCCCTTCAGCTTTGGACCGTTGCAAACAAGCAGGACTGCAGACCACTCCTGTTGGACCTTCCAATTTTTCAAGAGAAGCAGAAATTCCGGATTTTCATTAGAAATCTCCTGATACTCAAAATTCTGGGCAGAACAAACAAAGCGTATCTTCAGGTGGAGTTTGGCCTGTGGGGTCCAGCATAGGATCATGCAGGATCTGTGCCTAAAACATGGGTGAGGGAGACTTCCCTGGTGGTCCAGTGGGTAAGACTCCATGCTCCCAATGCAGGGGGCCTGGGTTCGATCCCTGGTCAGGGAACTAGAGCCTGCATGCATGCTGCAACTAAGAAGTCTGCATGCTGCAGCTAAAAAGATCCCATGTGCAGCAACGAAGACCCGGCTGAGCCAAAAAAAAAAAAAAAAAAAAAGGGTGGGGATGGGGGGGGTGGGAGAGCAGAGCTGGCAGAGGGGGCTTGGCTTCTGTGCAAATTTGAGCAGGAGACAGGATTGCAACTCATGGGAGCAGCATTAGTTGCACTCCATGTCCGCCACTGGCAGAACTCAAAATAAAGCATGGTTGGAGCAGGTTTAAGCTCAATAATAATCCTAGTCTTCCTGGGAAACTTTATTCCCCCCACACCTCCTCTCTCAGACTATGTGATCTCTCTGTACCTCTGTTTCCCCTTCTTTAAAATAGAGACCTTACAGGATATATTAAGTGAATGAATATATGTAAAATACATAAAATAATGCCAAGTGCAGGGTGGGCACTACTTAAATGTTGGCTACTGTATTAGCTGCATAATGAGTGGCTTAAAACAACAAGACACATTTATTATTTCTTACTTTTCTGTGGGTCAGGAGTTTGGGAGCAGCTTAGCTGGGTGGTTCTGGCTTGGAGTCTCATGAGGTTGCTAACAGATGCCAAGTGAGGCTACATCATCTGAAAGCTTGACTGGGGCTGGAGGATCTGCTTCCAAGATAGCTCCCTTGCGTGGCAGACAAGCTGATGCTGGTTGTTGGGTGGAGGCCTCAGTTCCTCACCTTGCAGATCTCTCCAAAGGGCTGCTTGAGTGTCCTCACAGTATGGTGGCTGGCTTCTCCCGGAGCAAGTGAGCTAATCAAGAACAAGAAGGAAGTCACATGTTTTTTATGACCTAACCTCAGAAGTCACACACATTGTCATTTCAACAATATCCTCTTGGTTATATGAGGGAGAGGAACTACCCAAGAGTGCAAATATCAGGAAGCAAGGATCATTGCGCTATTATGAATAAAGGTAGCATGGCTGCTAAGAGCAGAGCTGTGAGTCAGGCAGCCTGGTTTCAAATCCTGGCTCTTTCTAGATAACTGTGAGAACTTGGACAAGTACTTAACCTTTCATTGCATCCTCATTTATAAGATAGAGTAACAGTATCTGCTTCATTTGCAGTTGTTATTGGGATTAAGGGAATATATAATCACTTTAGAACAATTCCTGGCATATAACAAGTGCACAATAGTGCACAACTTTGTTTTTTACTTGAGTTGTACACTTCATTACTTATTTATTATTTATTTATTTATTTGGTTGTGTCAGATCTTAGTTGTGGCACGTGGCTCCTTAATTATGGCACGCAAACTCCTAGTTGCAGCATGCATGTGGGATCTAGTTCCCGGACCAGGGATCAAACCCGGGCCCCCTGCATTGGGAGCATGGAGTCTTAACCACTGCACCACCAGGGAAGTCTCTGCTGCTACTTTTTTATACACAGCCCCTCCAATGACAGATCAGCTCCTCCCATACAACCCACCAGAAGCCCCAATGATTGAAGACTAGTAGAGAGGGACTGAGGGGTCCCCAGTAATTAGGTCCTAGAGATACATACAGATGGAAAGACACTGTTCATGAGACTGTGTCCTGCTCCAGACCGAAATTTCCCAAAGGCAGGGATTTTCCTTTCAGCTGCCCACAGACAGACAAAAAAAAAAAGTCAATTTTACTGCTTCACTTTCTGATGAGAGACTCCAGCCCGCATGTCACCTTTCTAACGCCATTTACTTCACCCAGAGTAGCCTACATTGGGTGGAGGGGGCATCTTGCCCACCATTATGGACCCAGCATAGTAACCAGCACACAGCAGGTACCAAAGAAACAATTGATCATGGTGATATGTTATTGCTGGGTCAGAAGTATATTCCACAGAGCAGTTTTTTAAGATATAATTCAGGGCCAGCTCTGGGTCCCTGGACAAATTCTTTTGTAGCCTGCTCACTGAAGGTGCCTCTAAGAGGCCTGGGTGTACTTTGTGCCCTCTGAAACACAGCACAGAGGTAGAAGCTACTTCAGAGTGGATCAGAAAGAGGCCTTCAGGTTGGGAAGGTAATTGATCATTTTTCTCAGTGCAAGAAGCCAGGGAGGAGGAGAGCTCACTCTTGGATAGCTATGTCCCCCACTCAGAAGGAGGCCAGGGGCTCGGGGCTGGACAGGCCGGCTGCCAGGTCAGATGGTGGCTATCTGGATCTATTCCTTGCCAAGGTTTTCCTCTGTGCCCTTCCCACCTGCCTGTCACTGCTGCCGGGATCTGCTATCCTGGCATCTGGCCCAGCCAAGTGTATGGGGCACACAGTGTTGGATTCCAGAGGCTGAGCTGGCTCGGAGCCCTGCTGAGTCAACCCTGTTTTTCTTGCCTGTTCTCTGAGCCATCGTGCCCTGGGTTTTTCCTGGCAGGCAGGTTTTCTATGCCAGCCTCAATTTTCAGGCAAGGTATAGGGAAGTTGGTGGGAATGGAGGGGGAGAACTTTGGTAAAAGTTTGTTGAATAAATGCTTAGCCTTGTGAAATGAAAGTGGTCCACCTCACAGCCTCACTCAGTTCTTTCTCTGTCCCAACTCTGTCCCTACCCGAGGCTCAGAGTGTTGGGGTCTCTCCACCAGCCTGGGAACTCCATGTAGGAGAGCAGAGGACTGTTTATTGAATGAATGAATGAATGAATGAGGGAGAATGGGGAGAACTTCCTTCCATGTATCCCCTCTTTCTGTCCCAAGGTTCCTGCTTTGATTCAGGCAAACACTCTGAAGACCCTGAGGGTAGAGAGTGGGCAGTGGGGAGAGAGGCACCCGCTGGAGACTGAACAAGACAAATCTGGGCCCTGCCACCTGGGCACTAAGTTGTGCGGAGTGGGATGAGGGACGTTAAAGAATCCCACAAACACACCTGCAACGACCAAGCCTTGAGCGGGAAGGAGCGCGAAAGCCCGAGATGTCTCCCCGGGAGACCAGCCTGGTCTTGGGATGCTCTCCGGGAGGCGTTCCGGAGGCGGGGATGTTTGAGGGGTCCCGGGTTTCCGCCTAGCCCTGCTGGACTGAGCGTACCAGGACCCTCTTCCCCAGCTTTTGACTTGGGGAGGGGGTCAGGAATGCAGCCCGCACGCCCCGTCCCCGCTGACACCAGCGCCTTTTCCCCACTGGGCGCAGCGGGGGCTGGGGGGGGGGCTCGAAATTCCGGCGCTTGGAAAAGGACCACGGGGAGAGGAAGTCACGTCTCCCACGGTCAGCAGAGAAGGCACGGCTGACCACGCACGTCCGGGCCTGGTGGGAGGAGCCAGAGTTTTGAACCTCCCAGGGCACCCCTCACCCCCAAAACTACCCGGCCTCCATCAACTGAACCCCACCCCCGGCCCCACGCCCCGTCCCCGGAACTCCACGCGCCCCGCCTCCCAGGCTCCGCCTCCTACTCCCGCACTGTGCTTATAATAGAGGGCGTAGCGGGCACAAGCCAAGCGGTGATTCGAGTCTTTGCTCTCTGGCTTCTGCACCCAAGGGAGTCTCCACCAGGGCCCCCGCGTCTCCACCCGTCTCATCTCGACCTCCGAGTCCCCCTTGCGCCCCCTCACCCCTGCCTCTCCGATCCCCGCGTCCCAGCGTCCACACCACCCGGAAGGATGCGCTGTGCGCCAACAGCCGGAGCAGCCCTGGTGCTGTGCGCTGCCACCGCCGGGCTGCTGAGCGCGCAGGGCCGCCCGGAGCCTCCCGAGAAGCCGCGCTTCGCCTCCTGGGACGAGGTGAATGTGCTGGCGCACGGGCTCCTGCAGCTCGGCAACGGGCTACGCGAGCACGTGGAGCGCACCCGTGGGCAGCTGGGCGAGCTGGAGCGGCGTCTGGGCTCGTGCGGGGCCGCCTGCAAGGATCCTGAGGGGTCAGCCGCACCTCCGTTCGCCCCGGAGAATCTGGTCCCTCCCGGCGGCGATGCAGTCCCGGAGACCCTCCGCAGCTTTCAGGTACGTACGCTCCTACTGCCCTGGAAGGGTGTGGACGGGAGGGGGCGCATCCCGGACTCCCTGGGCTCTCCTGCCCGGGCCTCAAAGGATGGAGAGTTGGGAGTAGGACCGGGGATGAATGGAGAAGTTGGCGGCGGAAGGCCAGATCCTCACCAGGGTTTTATACTCTCCCCAGACTCAGCTCAAGGCTCAGAACAGCAGGATCCAGCAACTCTTCCAGAAGGTGGCCCAGCAGCAGCGGCACCTGGAGAAGCAGCACCTGAGAATCCAGAATCTGCAGAGCCAGGTGCCCGATGCTTGCCCCAGGTGGGGAGGGAGGTTGAAGTTGGACCTATGGGTCTGGACGTGGAGCTAAGCAGGTCGAGCAGCCTGAGCCAGCCAGACCTGACCCCCTCCTCCTGTCCTGTCCCAGATGGGCCACTTGGCCCCCATGCACCTGGGCCACGGGGTGGCCAAGCGTGCCAGGAGGAAGAGGCTACCCAAGATGGCCCAAGTTGCTGGCCCAGCTCAAAATATCAGCCGCCTGCACAGTGAGTGTCCAGACCTTTGCTGTTCTCCGGAAACCACCCCCCCACTATTCTTGCCCCCCACCTTCGTCAGGTCCACCTTACTGAGAAGGAGAGAGGCCCCGGCCCTGCGTCCCTGTGGGCTGACGGGCCTCTGGTGAAGGGGTGACTGGGACACCCCCTCCTCAGTCCTCTCCCTTCCCCACGGGGCCACCCCACCCTTCTTCCCAGCAAGCCACTGGGATTTCCCATGGGCCCCTAACTGGAGCAGCAGGCGTCTGGGAAACAGGGTCCAAGGGGGACTTGAGCTGCAGGGGTGTGGGAAAAGGGGTGGTACAGCTCAGGGCCACCTTCCTGGAGGTTGGAACCTTCTAGGAGGGACAGGATGGGGGACGAAAGGGTGCCAGCTAGGGAGGCTGGAGGCTGGAGCCCTCGTTGGGTGAAGAGAGAATGGCGGCCTGGGAGGGGAGGTTCTGATGTTTGGCCACCAGCCACCCACCATGGGCTTTTAGAGTGTGGATCTAGGAGGGGAGGCTAGGGCAGGGAAGCCCCATCTCCTTGGCCAGACGCACCACTCTTGCATCTCTTACAAATCCAGGGCTCCTGACTCACACACCTCTTCCGTCCCACAGCCTTCTATTGGCCCGGAAGTCCCTGATCAGCCCTTCCCACGCCCCCCCCCAAGTTCTGGTTCCTTTATTGTGTATGCCCCATGCACCCCAGATCTCCTAACATGTCTGTAGGTATCTGACACAGATTCCCAGCTCGCGGTGTCTCTGTCCTACTGCTCCAGAGCTGGCTGGCTTCCTTGTGGTCCTCCTACCCCATCACCCACCTTGGCATCTGCAGCCGTCTGCAGCCAACTGGGTGAAAGTTCAGATCTCCCTCTTCACACCCTCGGGCTGGTTGCTGGCTTCACGCCCTCTAGTCTTGAGGGCTCTGGCACCTCCCCGTCCCACCACTTTCCCTCCCCTCCCCAACCAGGAAGGGTCCATTACACCCTCCCAAACCGTAGCCCTGGTATGAGTGGCTTCTGGGTGGGGCCCGCAGGCATAGATCCAGGCTGGGGAATGTGATGGGGGGGGGGGTCATGTGTAGGTTTGGGGACTCCAGGCTCGCCCCAGCCAAGTATGGGAAAGTTCAGAGCTGCGGAGACAAACAGCTGGTGTTAATGGAAGCCACATTGGTGGTTTGGCGGGCTGCCTGTTGTGATTGGAAGAGAGGAAAGTAGGGGAAAGGGGAGCTGCTTCAGGGCCCAGAAAATGCCTCCAGTCATCCGGGCCCGCCCTCACTCCCACAGTGTGGACACATTCACCCCGCGACCTGAGCCTTCCCTTCCCCCTGCGACCTTTCCCCTACTTTCCGGGCTGGGCTGGGCCTGGGCTGGGCTGGGCATGGGACGGGCTGGGGGCGGGGACTTCCCCGGTCTGCCGATGTGCCCTGGCCATCGTTCCGTTTTTTCCTCCCTCCTTCCCTCCTCAATCCTTCCCCCTCCCTCTCTGATACCTGGGACCCCAGGCAGGGCCTCTGTGGTGTCCCCAAGCCCCATCCAGGCCTGATTCCCCTCCCGCCACTGGACAAAGCAGAGCCCCCTCCTGTTTATCGCAGTTCTTGCCCCATCCCCACTCTGGTCCAGCTCCTTCAGTCATTCCTTCATGGCATCTTTAGTAAACACCTGCTGTGGGCTGGGATCAGCCTGGGCACCGGTGCCACATGGTGGGCAAAGAGCCATTCATTGTCCCTAGCCTCATGGACCTCCTTCAGTGTGGGGAGTTGGAGAGAGACCATCAGATGACCCCAGTGTTGGGGAGTAGGAAGTCCTCAGTGCCCCTAACCTGGTCTGGGTGGGATGGTCAGGGACATGATCCCTTTCAGAAGCTGGGACCTTTAATATGAGGCAAGGAAAGGCATGAGGGAAGTGGGTCTCAGAACAGTAGCACGTGCAAAGTCCCTGTGGCAGGAGGGGGGTGTGGTACCAGGAAGGCTATGTGGCCAGAGGGTGGGCGTGCAGTGCAGGAGAGGGAGGATGGGTATAGCAACCAGTCCTGGGGTGCCTTGTAGACTGTGTCGAGGAAAGGCATGGGGTGCTATGGAAGACTTTAGGCAAGTGGGGGGGGTGTCATGAGCTCTAGATTGCCCCGTCCCGTCCCGGTCACCCGCTGCCCAGCCCCCAGACATGCCTGTTTCCTGGAACCCCCAGGACTGCTCTCTGCTTCAATCCCCCCACCCTTGTCTGCCCTGCAGGACTGCCCAGGGACTGCCAAGAGCTGTTTGAAGAGGGAGAGAGGCAAAGTGGATTGTTCCAGATCCAGCCCCGGGGGTCCTCCTCATTCCTGGTTAACTGCAAGATGACCTCAGGTAGGGCTGCTCTGGCCCCCCAGGTACCCCAAATATCATGGGCCCGGTTGTCCTTCTGTCAAATGCAGCTCACCCCCCTTCCCTCCCTTGCTCCCCGCTTTCTCCTTCCCTGCTGGATCCTTGGGACAAAGATCCAGGCAGAGTCCTCTGCCTGCTGACCAGCCCATCTTCCTCCTTTAACCATCTTCCTCCAGTCCTGCTGGGATGGATGAGAGGAACATTGCTCTCCCTTGGTTTAGAGGTGGTTTGGGGTTTGGGAGCCAGATGGGGGAGTCAGGGTCTCTTGTAAAAAAAAATCCTCCTGGTGACTTTGCACCTTTCTGAGCAGATGGAGGCTGGACTGTAATTCAGAGGCGCCAGGATGGCTCAGTCGACTTTAACCAGCCCTGGGACGCCTACAAGGATGGCTTCGGAGACCCCCAAGGTGGGTGTTTCCTGCAGGCCAGAGGCACAGGGGGAGGAGGGGGCCGCGGAGGTGGGTCGTTCTCACAGATGGGTCTTTCCCACTGTAGGTGAGTTCTGGCTGGGCCTGGAGAAGGTGCACCGCATCATGGGGGAGCGTGGCAGCCGCCTGGCTGTGCAGCTGCAGGACTGGGAGGGCAATGCCGAGTCATTGCAGTTCCCTGTCCACCTGGGTGGCGAAGACACAGCCTACAGCCTGCAGCTCACGGCGCCCGTGGCCAGCAAACTGGGTGCCGCCGCCTTCTCACCCAGCGGCCTCTCCCTGCCTTTCTCCACTTGGGACCAAGACCACGACCTCCGCGGAGACAAGAACTGTGCAAAGAGCCTCTCTGGTGAGCAAGCAAGCTCTGTCCCTCCTTGTCTTGCCCTTTGCCACACAGCTGGGACCTCCCCTCCCTACCTTTCTGCATCCGTCCCCTGCCTTCAACTCCATCTATTCCCTCCCCACTTTTCTCCTTACGTGCAGCATACCCTTGGGCAACTGACTTAACACTCACTTACTCCATCTTCAAAATGGGTAGAACCATACCGTCCACACCATAGGATTATTATGAACATATGATGAGATGACGTTTGTGGGATGGTGGCTGGTGTGTGGCAAAGCCATGGAGACAGACCCCATCTTGTTCTAATGAAATCGGAGGCAGAGCCCGGGCCCTGTGAAGTGAAATATATGAAACTGCCTTTTGGTGGATCAAAGAAGGATGGAATAGTGGTTAATTTCATATGGTTCAATCTAATATAAACTAGTGAGATGCATGACAGTCATAGAGAGGCTTGGATAAATGTTTGCCATGTGCCAGATGCGGAGAAGTCACTCGCCAGGGTCACAGACATAAAAGCTGCAGTTACCGGGAAGGGGGGTACCCAGAGCCCCTGGGGTGCCTTTGTCACAACCTGGGGTTCCTCAGAACACAGTTTGACAACCACTGCCAAAGACATCTCATCTAAAGTGTGTGACATCCAACACCCAGCCTCATCCCCATCCCGGGCCCAGTGGAGGCCCAAGGACCCATGGGCCTAACCAAGTCCCCTTTTTTCTGACCCCGGCAGGTGGCTGGTGGTTCGGTACCTGCGGCCACTCCAATCTTAATGGCCAGTATTTCCATTCCATCCCGCGGCAGCGGCAGCAGCTTAAGAAGGGCATCTTCTGGAAGACCTGGCGGGGCCGCTACTACCCGCTGCAGGCCACCACCATGCTGATCCAGCCCACAGCGGCCGAAGCAGCCTCCTAGCCTCCTCGCTGGGGCCTGGTCCCAGGCTCCTGGAGGACAGGGACTCTGATTCTAGCCCAGCATGTGGCCACTCCCTGCCTGGGCAGGGGCTCCAAGCAGGGGCCACCTGAAACCTCATGGACAGAGAAGATGTCCACGACTGGAGATGCCCCCGCGATGAGTGGGGGGGCTGCAGGAAATGCCCTC